TTAAGCAGGTATTTTTCTTTCACTTGAGGAAATCCTGCAAAGCCTCACTCTGGAACATGCAAGTCTGCTGCTTAATGGTACCATCTGCTGAAAAAAGAAAATCTTTTAACTTTGCTGTTGTTGTTGTTTTAATTACATAGCATTTCTAAAACTTACCCAATGCACAATTATACCCATCTCCCAGCCTGTTAGAAAGAGAAAATATAATCAATCAATAGATAAAGAAATTAACCAGTGAGTGAAAAAGTTATGGTGGCAGTTACTTGTCAACTGGTGAGCTTTCTGGTATTGTTTACATGAGATCAAGAATGGGGAAATCTTAAAAGAGCTTTAACTAGTGGATTTTAACCAGACAGTAGAAGAGGTCAAAATATTGGAAGTTATCTCTGCCTGCAGTTTTAACACAGTAAATACAATTTACTTTTTATTTTAAATAATGCTCACCAGGTTAGATATCATAAAGGGTCCTAATGTAATCAAATTAACTAGCACAACTGAATGAGGAGACACTGAAACCTTATTGGAAAATAGGAACCCAATGTGTAAATTGTTGAACATGCAGCAACTGGACCAGATTGGTAAATTGAGGTGGTTTTAAATTTAAACCAGGGCACCAAAAATGGAAAAGCTTGAGAGGCAAATGATTGGTAGACTAACCTCAATCAATATCATTTAAAATCTAACTGTAACAACAGCATTCAAGTAGTTTCAATGGTGCAGAATAAATTACATTCAGTTGTTAAGTAACAAAACTAACAATTCAAATGTCAAACAAATGTAATCAAAGTTACTTTAAGTTAGTCCCAGTATATTTGGCTAATCGGCTTACTAGACTGGAATCTTCAATAAGACATCTTGCAAGCATCAAACATGCAGAGTAACCCACTACATAATAATGTCAAAATAATAGAAAAAACATGAATACTAAAAAGGAAATACTTCTAAGATTATGCATAATTACAGTGTTTCTTCAAAAATGTACAAAGTAACCTGGATACTAAAATGACTTGGTGACCTTTATTGTAGCACGGTCATGGCATTAAGGATCATTGAGATTTAGCAGTGTTTCCCAATTGATAACTACCAATAATCCTATTCATGTTCATAATATGGAAAGACTAAACATTACGTTCACGGTGAACTGAGTTAACCAGCTCACAATAGTGCAGCCTGCGCGAAATTTGCGGTGAACACAAACGACGGCTTCTTTTTCAAATGTTCGTCTCATTTCTCAATGCTTAGACACTTACGTTTAATTGACACTTATACAAAACACTAAGTTAAAGAACCCTAGGCATAACTTAAAGATCATTAAAATGGAGGTGAGTTCAGTAGGAAGATTGGGCTAAATTCGCAGAGCATGACGGCAAACGTGACAAAAGTCCAGATTTCATGGTAGTAGTACAGAATGTGACGTGTTCCTGAAAAACGTCGTGTTAACAGAAAAGGTCAGAAAACATTTGATTTTGTCAACAAAATTCGTGGAAAAACGAAGGAGCCTGACGATATATCAAGAATTGGTGTGGCTGCAAGTTAATTGACGTAAATCTGTTGTTGACATTTCGCCCTTCTCAAATTTCACGGTTTTATTTTAATAAATTATCTCTGCGCTACAGAACAAACCGATTTTTGTTAGAAGGAACGTCGAAAGATGAGGCGACATAAGATCACGTAACCTTTTTTGCCGTACATTATAGATAACTCTCTAAGATGGGAACACGGAACATAGAAGGATAAGTTCGTTAGATTCTGACAAAGGTATCCTTGTTAAGTCACTGTTACCATATAAAACGTAGATAGAATTGAATTTGGAGTTAATTGTAAAAACCGTTTTAAATAACATTTATCAAACTAAGGAATTCATAAATAGGTGAACATAACAGGTTTTATGCGAGGCGTGGCCGAAAAAGGTCTGTTTTCTCCTTTCTCCTCCATCGTTACCAGTCATCAATCTCTACCACAATAAAAAGCAAAAAAGACCTTATAAAACTGTAAGACCGTCTTTTTAATTTGCCTCAGGATCATTTTCTGGAGGTGAAAAGGGATAAGGTAGAGCCGCGGGAAGTGATCAGAAGTGAGCCCCAAAGGTCGAGGGGAGGGAAAAAAAGCAATTAATCCTGAAAAATGTTATCCTATAAACCTCTTATGTCCATTATACTAGATACCGTTTTTCATGAGTGACCGGCACACCCTTGAATCTCTCTATTCTCTGTACCTTTTTTACTTTCCTTTTGCTAGAAAAAAATGTGTTGGCGTCTTCCAGCTCAGGGAGTGAGAGGGAAACGGAACACAGCGCCCGAAAACGCGTTCACTCCGACTCCGAGGCTACTGAGCCTAAACCAGCGAAGATGGCTAAGCTAACAGGAATCCAGAAGTCGATTTCGGCCTTCTTCAGTGATGCGGGAAGTTCTTCTGCATCACCAACAGCGGCAAACGTTTCACTTCATGGAGAAAAGGAAAAATCGTCACCACGATCATTACAAGCAACACAGTTTAACATAGCGTCATCGAAGTTTATCGCTTATTTTTTTTTCCAAGACAAGATGAAATCCAACTTCGGGTCAAAACTCATAAAATTTCAGAAATTGGCAAGATCTCAAAGAAATATTACCTGTCATTAATTTTAAGCCCATGCATGTAGTTTGTACGAGGTTCACATGCCTCAACAATCGTCTCTAGATCCTTCTTCTTTTTGGCTCAGAGGCATATACTCTCATAAAAGGAAAAGGAAAAGGAAAACACTACAGAATAGTAATCCTAAGTTGTTCTCCATTTGAGATCATTATCCAATCTACATTATCTGTGAGTGTAAATAAAATGTTGGCCGTAATCTAATCGTGGCAAAAATTAAAGAGGCAGGCGCGTTTTCTGATTGGAGCCTCGAGAAAACCTGGGAATGAATCTCAAGTCAATATGGCGGACGAAGGGGGCCTAGAAGAATTGGAGAAAAAAAGATTGACTCTCTATCGCATCCAGAAGTGATGGCTCTCTTCACTGAAAAACTAGGAAAGATAATGGGAGGTACATTGCTTATTGGATTGCCAAATGAACCAACTCTCGATGAACTGAACTCGTAGATTGCACTGGAACAAGGCCGCGCTATTGTTGTAAACGTTCGTCAGCAAGATGAACAAGGCACTTTGCTACGTAAGAAGAACCTCATATGTTTTCTAACGTACAATTTTTAATCGTGGAACGACTGTTAATTATTGATGGAGAAATAGCATAAGAATATCAAAATAAACTAATATTGATTAGGAAAATATTATTATATATTAGACTTACCACTAAAAATTTAACTGGTCGTCTGTTATCGAGAGCTTTCAATCGAAATACAATAGCATATGAAGTTGACACGATAACCCAATTTATTATATAGATACTGATGAAATACCAGGAGTTTTCCTTTTACTAAAAAATCATACAGGGTGTATCTTCACCGCGCGCAGTGAAGATACTTTTTTTATCTTTCACGTGTGAGGATATTGGTGTGGTCA